GAAAACAACATGGGCTTTTAGGCAGTTTTTTAATAAAAAAATACGGGTATTCTTTTTTCCATTTAAAAAAATCCTAGGGGTTGTGAGCAAAATATTTTTATAAATTTTTTAAACGCATGTATTTTTGGACCACCACAATGTATATATGTAAGTTCATCAGTTACTTGTGAGTTTTCATCAGGTAAATCTGCTAAGAGCTATTCTTCATATTTAAAAAAAATTAAATTTTCATTATAGTTAAATGAGCGCATGCACCCTTAAGGTTACTTCCCCTTTTTATTGCCGGAAAAAAAATGTTGTTGTTTAAATAAAAGATTTGATTAAAGTTTTTCTGCTGTTTGCATACATTTTCTCTTTTATTTAACTTTAATATCGCTGCATTTCTGGCTTAGGACTAGAATTTGTTTTAACGACATTCACTTCGATATGAGTTCGTGGTCATGTGTATGTTGTGTGTTTATATGTATGTATGTATGTATGTGTATGTATGAGTGTGTGGGTCAGTGTCGGTGATGGATTCATTTACAATTCAACGTTAATGCAGTGTTTGGTTGTTGTTGTTATTATCCTTTTCGTTCGTTTAAATGTGAACTTTTTAATTGTTTTGCAATTACTGTTTTTTTTTTTTCAAAATACTTTTTTTTTCGTTTGCAAATTTATTCACTTATATTCGTAAAATTAACTTTTTTTTACGCTTAAAATAGTTTGGTTCAAATTTTTTGTTGAATTATATTAGTTATTGTGTTTTTTTTGTTTGTTTTTTTCAGCTTTCTTTTATAATTATTTTAAATTTTGTTTCTGTGGTTTTCTTGTTTATTCGCTTATTTAGTTACAAAAACGAAAATGCCATAATTAAATGCAAATGTTTACTAACTATGATAAGCATTGCCTTCGCTCAAAGTCACACCTTAATCGACTTTGGAATTTTTTTAAATATTTACGAGTATTTTAATAATAATTTTTTTTTTATCAATAACAGACACTGCATTTTTTTTTTTAAATTTATAATTACAATTACAAATTTCCTTACATATGTTGGTATGTAGGTATATAAGTATCTATTATTTATAAATCTGTTATTATTTATGCTACATAGTTCTACTTTTTCATAATAACTATTAGTTTATATTAAATCTACAAAAACTTATTTTAAAAAATTCACGTATAAAAAATTTCTTTTACATATTTTAACTCACTGGAGTCTAGTTTTTGTTGCTGATTTAATATTTATTTCATTATTTGCTACACAAGATGTTTTTTTTTTAATTTATTTTAACTACACAGATATTTATGGGAAAATGAAAATGAAGGGTTGTCGAAAATTGGCTTAATTCGATTTACATATTTTCAAATTTTGATATGATGTGCTGTATCTACATATATTGATCGTTTGTGTGTGGATATGTATGTATGTATGTATGTTGAAATCTAGATATGCATGCACATATGTATGGTATGTTCATTTGTCTGTGTGTAGTATATTTGTATGGCTAATAGTTTTGCTATGCTTTCTCAGGTGGTTATTTTAATGGCTTTCGTATGTTTTAGAAAATATTTTGCCAAGACGTACTTTTTCGCAATTTCATGCTATGCATTCGGCAAAAAATAAGTGACGATATAATTTTCTTATTCAAATTAATTTTCTTTTTAATTATTCTAATATACTCAAATTGCAAGAATTTGGGGTTCAGGCTTAAGCGAACTGTTTTGGAAACAATATCGATGTATTGGTTCTGAAAATTCAATTTTAGCTCTCTCAAATATTTTTTTATTACCAAATTCAGTGCGATATTTGTCCAAAAAAAGAAAATTTGCAAGATTTTTTTTTTTTTTGTTGGAAAGTACTAAAAAAGCACTTTAAATTAATGTTTTCTTCGCAGGCAACATACAAAAATGAGAACATTAATTTGTTGGTACCTTTTTTATGGATGCTGGCAATATGGATCTACCTAAAGCATTTAAAATGGATGCCTTAGTTCTTAAATTATTAAAACTTTAAAATTATAATTAAAATATAATAAAATTATGAGTATTTTATGACAATAAGGCAATCGGATATTACATATTTTTATAGCACATAAAATCGGACTTGTAAATCTTAAAAATTCTAATAAAAATTTTGAATAATTTTAGCTTTCGAAGGTGAATAAAAAAAAAATACTCATTTCTTTTAGTAACAAATATACGAGGGCGTCATTTTACTGGAGCGTTATTATTGAAATTGGCAGCAAAATGAAAATTTTAGACTTCTTTACAAAAATAGACTTCTTAATAACAAGTGGATAAAAATGAGAGATTTCGCATAATTTAGCAACTTTATAGCGAACTCAATAAGCTGTTTTGAACTAACAGACGCTACAATCAAAAAGTGTTACACAGGGTGCACATTAGGATGGCAAAAAAAATAAACATCATAGTTCCCGCTTTTATTTTGTTCTACGTACAAAGTATAGGCATTCACGAACACTTCAAACTGTTAAGCAAATTTTCAGGGGTCTTAAAAAGATTATAATTTTTTTTAAATCGCAAAAAATCGACATAATTTTGACTTTGACCAGTTACAACCCAATTTCAATTTATATTAATATGCTTCAATAATATGCAAAGTTTATTAGATTTAAAGCAGGAATTTTCTCGAATGTTTGCGTTTAAACATTTTTATTTTTTTCAAACTACTAAAAATGTGTTTATAATTTCAGAATTTTCGTTGATATCTTTATTTCTTACGTAGAACAAAATAAAACGCCGACCTATACAAAAATTTAGATTTTCATAATATAAGGACCACCCTAGTACGCGTATGTGGAAATTAATTCTCAATTGGTAACTATCGGGTGCAGTAAGTCAGATTTGGCAGCACTGAAGCCATTCACGCTTGCATATCGTGACCTTACTATAGAAGAGCCCTAACTAATAATCTTTCAATTCAGAGCTTTCAAAAAGGCGGAAGATTACTCACTAGGGACCTAATATAATTTAAAACCAACTAATAAACCAATCAATCATTTTTTGATGAACAGCTGATTGTTGCTTAGTATAAACACAGGGCAGCATATGTAACTCATATACCTTACTTATTTTCGTGTAGTCTTCATTTTTTTGTTCATGCACCCGAACAACAAGAAAACCTTAAATAGTGGATGTGTGTGATTGTTTTTCGTGCCGGAAGATCTGAACTAAAAATCAAACGATTTACATCAGTTTTCCTCAAAGGTTACTGGCTTTCGACTATTGATAAATATAATCGAGCCCGAATTGTATCAAAATTAATTATGTCAAAAGAATCAGGTTCTGTAAATGGTCGGTTGGAGGACATTTGATTCAACTTCACTTTGGTATTTGGAAATTTTAAAATGCCATTAGTTAGGGAACTTCCCTCAATTTCGATACTGATTTTATGTGCAAACAGAATTTGTATTATTGGAAGAACTCATTCACAGGGGGAAAACCTTTACTGATTAAAAATGAAGCATAAAAGAGCTCAGCTTTTCCCTAGAAGAATATATCACTGTGCTACCAAACTGGCTCTGGATCAATGATAAGATCTGTAGGAGATGTAGAACGAATGAGAAGACAGTGCAGCATATCCTCTACAAGTGTTCTGCCCTTAACACATAGCGGATTAGTTTACAGGGAGCAGATATTCTGACCAATATGGACGCAGCCGCGAAGGAAGAGTAGGTTACAGTTTGCAAGAGGACTGCGATGCCCGTCAACATTGCTGCTGGTACTCAGTCGTTAGCTGCCTAATATGGTCGTACTTTATATGGTCTTTAATAGAAGAATTCTGAGCAGGGAAGATTAGAGTAAAAATTGCCATGCTCCAGCGAGTAGGTGAGTGATCGAGAGTTTGGTAAGAATTCACCGCCAGCTCTTGTATTCGTTATACAGAACACTTTTGCGACCTTTAAGCTGAGGAAATTGATTTATAAATTAAATTAATGTTAAAAAAAAATTTCGAAATTTTTTTACGTTTAAAAAAAAAAAAATAATAATAATTAGCTTAAATTACCCACGGTATATGTATGTATGTGCATTTAGTAAGGTTATAACATTTTCCAAAAACAAGGTTAAAATTTTGTATTTTAAATATACAGTATGGGCTTCATCAGGCCACTAGTTGGACAACATAAATTCATTTTAACTGCAATTTAAGATAATTAATTATATGTGGTAGTTGAAGTATGCATGTTCATGAAATTTCCCATCGCAATTTGCCGTCTAAAATTTCAAAAAATTTTGTTGCTGTGATTTTTCCACCATTTGCCTTGGCGTCATTGGAAATTTGTATAGATGTTTGTCTGTTTGTGTTATTTGTTACTGCTAGTTTATGACTATTTTACTTAAAATACTTGCTAGTTTTTATTTTTAATTTTCTATAAATACAAAATAATAGAAACTATGTAAATATTTACAAAATCATACAATGCATTTAGTATTTATGTAGTTAAAAATCTATGATTCGATAATTTGAAAATTACAATTTCATTTTCGTTTACACTTACATTACTAACTTACATACATACATATGTATATGTATATGTATATGTAGTAGTACAGTACAGAACAAAAATAAATATATTAACTACATGCTTGTATGCATTAAATATAGCTATACTACATATACATAAATAGTACCTTGCTATGTATGCACGAGAGTATGTATGTATGTGTATAGTACATGCAATGAAAAAATCTCACATATAGATGGGAATTTAGTTACATACTTACGTACCTATGTATGTTTGCTTTACTAGTTACGTAGTTGTGTTCCAATTAACTATGTATGTTTGTATGTATGTATGTTTGCATAAATATTTTCACAGTTTGTCGGAGTAAAATGAATAAAATCGTGGAAAAAATACTCGTTCGTAATTAAGTAGTAGTTAGTTTCTCTCTTTTTCAAAAAATTTGCATAAAAAAGGAAATAATCAAAGTGTTTGAATTTTGGCATCGCCTTTCGATTTACAATTCGCATTTAAAATGTTTTTTATTTTTTATTTTTTATTGTTTTTGTTGCTGATGAAGTTGCTTAGTTTTGACTGGTTGATGTTGATGATGTACTGATTGTAGCCACAACAAATGCCCTCGTCCGGCACGCTTTCGTGGCACAAGGGCGCGATAGTCGGAATTTCAAGTTAACACCTCTTTGAGGTGGCGCGCATATGCTTCCGCCGTATGGAACACAGGTTCGCTGAAAAGACAATTTACAAAGAGGTTATAAATAAGGATGTATTAAGTTGTAAATAGAAACACCCTATTAATTATATATCCACAAAATGCACGATCTTTTAGATTTTTTTTTTGGCTACAAAACTGCATTCTCAAAAAAATTCTAAAAAAAAAAAAATTTTAAATTTGTAAATTAGTATTGTGCTAATTTTACTCAACTTCGGTGTAAAAAAAATTCATAACTCAAATTATTGTATAGTGCGCACTATAATACTATACTTAAATATTGCGCAATACTCAGAGCTACCACCATAATCTTTTTAATTTTTTTTGAGATGGCATATTTTCAGAAACTAATTTTTTTTTATCAAAAACTTTGTATGTGAAAAATTTTTCAAGAAAAAAATTTTAAAAATACTAATTTTCATAGATAATTTTGATGTGTGTATGCGTGATTTTTTTCAAAATTTTTTCTCGCCCCGTTCTCGAGATATTTGGAAAACTATTAAATCGATTTGTTTTTGTTTTTGTGCTGCAATGTTTTTAGAAATGTATTAATCAATCTCAAATTTCCGATTTATTTATTATTTATGTTTATCCGTCAACCCTAAAAATTTGAAACAAATCAAACACATGAAGTGTGAACCCCGTCCATTTTGGTATGGAACGCCCCATATACATCACTTTTCGATAAGCCTGATAGTTTTTGAGAAATTAGTTAATCATTCCAGATTTTTTAGTCTTTATTTATTTATTTATTTTTTTGTTTGATTAGAAAGTTCAAAATTTAGCAGGGGAAAAAATTGAAAAATAACAATTTCTATGCAAATTTTTTATTTGTGTTAGAGCCTGTTCTCTTACAAAAAAATTTAGCTACTAATGAAGAAAATCGATGGATAAATAATTGGGAATGAGTGGTCAAATGGAAATGCGCAAGGATTTTTTTGTATGAAAAATGAACAGGTAAGAGTGTACATGGCGTGGGCTGTATGCCCTGATGAACTTGTGGACAAATGTGTATTCAATAGAATTCGGTATACCTATTTGCACAGTCAAATATATTTTCAATTCATTATGAAGTAACCACACATGCATTTAACATTCAAACACACACATACATACATACATATATATGAATGTATATAATTCCATACATTTGCTCTCGCCTGAGCGCCAATGCGTTGTGTTGATTGTATGCCATTGTCATTTTGGTGATTTGCATTCATTAATACCACAACGCAATTTCATTTCGTTTTTCGCACTCCCCATGGAGCATCAAATTCTAAATCCCGTTTAAAGTTATGTATGCACTTAAGGGTGGTACAGAAAAAGTGAGGTCGGAATTTGAATGCTCGCACCCCTAGGATTGTTCTATATCGAAGAGGTCGCTCAAAGCGCTCAAAGTTTCCAATAGATTTTATAAGTGAAAAAAAAACAATTTTCCTAGAAACTGTATAGAATACTTTAAAACAAATATTTTTCAATCGGCAAACCTTATTTCTCTTCAAGAGATTTCGAAAATTAAAACCCAGAAATAAATTAAAACCTAAAAAAAAAAAATGCAATTTGAGCGCTTTTTGCGACCTATAATAATTTTTTTGATTAAGAAAAAAACAATTGGTAAATTTATTTCGATATTGAACCATTCTAGGTGGCAAGCGTATTAAAATTCCGACTTTACTCTTCCCCACATGCATTTTTGGATCACCCTTATGCACATGTAACCGTGTATAGTATTTATGTGCGTATTTATAGCTTACCTGTCGCTGATATCGCGTTTTCGCCTTCTATCCTGCGACAACGCCTCCACGCACAGCACAATTAATTTGCTATCGCAAGTTTGGCGCTCCTGGTCGAGCAATTTGTTCCCCAGCAAATTGCTGGCATAACCGAACTTGTCTCTGGAGCCCGAATGCCAGGCGTCACAATATGTGTCAATTGAACGCTCACCGTTGGGTAGTGAACCATGCCAAACGTGCTTTTGTGGCCTGTTAAAATGCAGAAAAAAAAGGAATAAAGAAAAGAAATTAGAAATGAGGGAACTACCACAAAAAGAAAATATATATTGTAATAACAAAACCTTTTATTTAGATTACATTTTAGTCAAATTGAAAATGAACTTATTTTCAAGAATGCTTACATAATAAGTATACCTATCTGTTTGTGAGATTAAGGGGGCTGCGATGTAATTTGCCACCTTTTAGTGATTTTCATAATTTCTATTGAATATCTTAAATGGTCAAGTGGGACTTAATTTATTCAAAATTCATAATTTTTGTCTAATTAATTTTTGGTAAGAATAATTGTTACCCGTTTTTATTTATTGCAAAATTAGGCTAGTATTTTCTTAACACCTGTTCGTACTAAAGCTGTAATGCTATCTTAGAGTGCATGAGTTCTCTTTGGTACTTAATTTTCAGTTACGAAATAATGTGTTGACCACTTGGAGTAAGTACTTAAGTGGTACTCATGTAGTCACTGTTCTTTGCATCATGATACCAGCGAGATTTTGATTACTTTGCTTCTGCGAGCGAACTTCTAGTGCTTGTTTGATGTTAAATTGCTTTTATGCCGATGGCGATAATTGTTAACCATTTACGTTTTAGATGTCCGAATCGCCACGTCGTACATTCTGAATAGTTCATTTAGTCTCCAGATAATTTACCGGTGTGGTGAGATACAAAGCCCTCGACATCTCTTTCTCTAAGCCAAGCATACAAAGAGAGCTGCGCACTTATAGGCTGATTCCTGACCAGACGGTTTACTCGACTTCTGCAGAAAATTAGAGTCTTTATTTTTGAATCTGTGCGAAAAGACCACGCTGTCTGACGAAGACATGGAAAATATTAATATATATAGATATTTTCTTTCTACTTTTATTCTTAGTGATCCACTCGAACGTGCTTATCACCTCTTCTTCTGTGATCTTTGAACTCGCACTTGCACCGGAAAGTGTGCTGCAACTAAGCGGCTCCACTATAACCGACACTCTGATAATATTGGGCCCCTGACTACAGTCATCAAAGTTTACTCTAGCGTTGGGTGCATGGCAATGAAACCACTTAAATTTATGACATTGGGCCGTATGAGTAAAAACTAAGCAATTGCTTTTTCTTAAAATTTCATACCTTTTACTTCAGTTTTGTTTGAATAAATTGAGTAAATTAACTGAAATTTTAAGAAAAAGCAATTGCTTATTTTTATTCATACGGCCCATTATGTAGAACAACACTATGAATATCAAGTAAACGGAAAATTTTGTAGAATTTAAAACATTTAATTTTTTGGTCAACTAGGACAAATAGGTATTGAAAATGTCCCTTTAAACAGTTTCCTAAACTAACACTGTTAAACTGATAACCAGAGACCGTTACAGTTACAAATTTTATAAGAAAATCACTCTTTAATAATTATTTTTTGAGTTTTATTAAATTACTCCTAAAATAACCGGTATATCTGACTTTTATTTCATAAATCCAAACTAACAATTATCTTTTGTATTTTATCTAAATAACCTAACATGTAGCATTTTTACTATATTTGGCCCCTAGTTTCGTGAGTATATTGATTTTTTCATTGATTTTCTGGAAGTTGGGCCTTCGTCAACCCCAAGCTTACAAGGAGGGTACAATCTAAAATGATACAGGATACCCATAGGCCTCCCTTGGGAGAAACTAAGGATCATTACAGGTATTTTGACGGGCCACTGTACGCTAAGAGGGCACTTGTTTAATTTAGGAATCTAGTCTGGTGACCGCAGTCGCCGCTGTGACGATGCCAGGGGAGGAAGGGAGAGGGGCATAGGATATTTATGACCAAGTGTCGACCTTATACAATTTACCCCCGTGATCAATTCTGAAATTTCTAGAGTATCTACGGCTGGTGAAGTACTGTGATGAGCTACATAATGCTTTATCCAACTATCAACCTATCTATCTATCCATCTATCAATGGCTTTCTTGCGCCTTATTTGCGCAGGTTCTCTAAATTGCTTGCCACGCAGAATGTTATGTTCTTGACATTGCGGCCTCCGTATACTGATGGTGTTCAGGCGACGTCAGAAGGCATCCCATTACCGTCCAGAGTACGATGTTTTGACAGGTCCGTAGCTCCATTCACTGTTGCGGCTATATTCTTTATCAAAAATTGCGGTTGTCTTCACCTCGAAGGAGAGAAAGCTCCCAAAGCCCAAAAACGTTCGTCCTACTAACCGTCGTTTTTGGTATGGCTCGGGATGATTACCTAATTACTGTCTTTAATCTTTTGTAAATGATGTCAAAAAATGTTGAGTAGTCCGTTTGCGACGCTGTATTCTGAGATATGAGAGTAATCTGGGCGGCAATACTTCTCTTTTCGATCATCATTGAAATATTGCCTTAATGAATCTGCATTTGGTACTTTGATCAAGTACTATGTTGTTGAATGTAATTATAATTGCAAATTATGATAACATTCACTTATGAAAATATACTTGCAGCCAACTCTCCGCCAAAGATTATATCTGTAGTTGTTTATGCATACATATTTGCCCCATAGAGACCGCTCGTATAATTCAACTTAAGATTCCATGGTCCCCTGTGAATTGAGTTTCCAGGAATAACAGTAAGCAACCTTTGACTTTGCATCTACTTTGAGTTAAATTGAATTGCATTGTTTAGCTGTGCATAATTGAGAATTATGTTTTAACTAATGTGCACAGCATGTTCCATTTACATGTTTTCTCAGTGGCTAGTGTGTGCCATTGAAGTCATACAGATATTTTGATAACATTTATGTAGTAATTGCCAAAATTCAAACACGCAGGTATCTAGATACGCATTTGGAGGCAATATACTACATACATATCTAATTCTATGAGCTGTTTCTCTCTCAGTTTGGGAATACTGGTTTAGTATAATGTATATATGGTACTAGGTATCCATACATACATATGTATGCATTTATACACAAACATTAGTGAATTTCTCAATTGTTTTCCGTTTTTATAAGTGGAACTTAATAATCTACAACAAGTTTTAATGATTACAAGCATATATAAGTACATTTATGTAGAAGAGAACCATATAATTTTGTGTGTAGAACTTCGATACTATGTGAAATTCATGGCTGAAATACATTGTAGAAATATTTAGATTCTGAAGTGAATAATTTTGATAAGATTCAGGCAAAACTGAAGACCAAGGTAAACTAAACACTTACATATATAAGGGCAAATGTGGAGGGGAATATCGACTGCTGAGTGGAAGATAGACCTATCTCGGCAGTCAGTTCGAAAAAGCCCTATCTCAAAAAGCTTTTCAAGAACGCCCTATTTCAGAATTCGTTTCAAAAACGCCCCATCTCAGCAGCCGATTACAAAACGCCCTATATCAGCACATTTTCAATACATTTTGAAGTAAAATAGGGCGTTTTTGAATCGAATTCTGAGACAGGGTGTTTTCAATAAAATTCTGAAATAGGGCGTTCTTGAAAAGTTTTTTGAGATAGATGAAGAAAATGATAAACACAAAGGTAAAAACAAAGATAAATACAAAGAAAAAGATGAGGATGAGGATACCGCTAAAAGTAAAGATGAAGATAGAGGAAGAAAAATTAAAATAAAGGTAATTATAGAGAAAAGGATATAGATAGAGACACGGGGACTCAATCTGGGAACTATTTTGGGATTTTAGAGTTCGGAGTTCTCGGGACTTATCGATATAATAATTGATACTTTTTATCGGTTTTGTTACCGATTTTGTTATCGATATTTTGATGGATATTTTAATCGATTTTCTAGTCGATTTTTGTTATCGATTTTATTATCCATTACTTACTGTTTTTGTTATAAATTTTGTTATCGATTATTTATCGATTTTGTTATGGATATTTTTTTAATCGATTTTGTTATTGATATTTTTATCGATTTTGTTATCGATATTTTTAACGATTTTCTAATAGATTTTTGTTATCGATTTTTTAATCGATTATTTATCGATTTTGCTATCGATATTTATATCGATTTTGCTACCAATATTATTATCGATTTTGCTATCGAAAGTTTTATCGAATTTATCATCGATTTTGTTATCGATATTTTTATCGGTTTTGTTATCCAAATTTTGTTGGATGTTACCAACGAGATACACGAAGGTCCGTATCCTAGAATCATCGGAGCCAATGAAGACTATAGACGACTGCGACATTTTGGTTTGTGGCATGTTTATCACAGTTCCGAGTACAGAGAGAAGTTTAGAAGCCTTTCGGGAACAAAAACTTCTAAACCGATATCTATAGTCGTATTGTTAAGAAAGAAGGTCGTTAGCTGTCCTACAAGGGAGCAAAAATGAAGATACACAGACACTGCCCTTGGGACAAAGGGTTTTTCTTTGAGATCTTTGCACTACTTCTTTAAAAGTCTGGATTTTCGTAAAATCTGGCGCAGATATCAAATCAGGGTATCCAATGACAGACAAACTATTCTATTATCGATAACTATCTATTAATATATCGATAAATTTATTACTAATGAGCTAATTAGTGCAAAAGCAACAACAAAATATCGAATACTGTATTCTTAAATATTTTTAAAACGATATTACTAAATAAGTCGATAATGATATCGATAAAAATATCGAAAACAATTGGACTTCGAAAATATCAACCTCAAACCCCTTCGTGATTTATTCATCAGAATCGTTTTTAAAGCATATGCATGTTTTATTATTAACAAAAAAAAATCTACAAATGATGAGCATTGTTCATCCTTAGTGACTCACAAGAAATATGGTCTCAAGTCATTTCCCTACAAATGCCAGAGGATTTCTGAATGTAAATTCAGCAAGCAAAACAATCGCTACACCATCACCTCGGTGACAAAGCGTAAGAAATTGCACTTCCGATACCAGAAGGATTTAAACATTTCCAGAAATCAGCTGCCGTAAGTCGAGCATCTCAACGAACTCGTCGTCTCGATGACAAACCGCTGTAGAAGCACGGAAATG